TTCAGACCCCTCAACCACCATTCACCAACCCTGAAACACCCCCCCCCACACGGGGGTTGGTGACTGGAGGAGGAGAAAAATAAATAAAAAAAAAAAATCTGGCCAATCAATCCAAGAGGGAATTGTGGCGTCGGGGAAAAAAGGTAGGGGTGAGCATGGTCCGGATTGGAGTAAAACCAAGACCAATCCGTTATTTACGAATCCTGAAAAATTAGAACCAATCCAATCCGTTTAAATCGTGGAACCAATCCGAACCAATCCATTTAAACACGCATTAGATCGGTTTAAGACCACGGATTTACATAATTAAATAACAAAAAATATATATAACACATTAATTTCATAAAAATATAAATATAGCACCATATTAATTTCACAATAGCAATATGTCTTTTTATAATAGCGACAAACTGTTCTAAAACTTAAACAACCATAAGAAAACTAGTTCCACCATAAGTATTTAAATCATTACAAATTAACACTAAAAATTAACAAACAAAAGTAATAAAAGAAGATACTATACAAGTTTAGGTTTGCATTTAAGTTTTATATGAAATAAGATAAGATATTATGCATGGGAGTGTATAATAAAAATATAGACTATTTGTATACGGTCCAGATCGGTTGCAATCCGAAACCATAGGGTTCAATCCGGAACCAATCCGTGATTTTTAATTTTGCAATCCGAAACCGAACCACGGATTCAAAAAATCAATCCAAACCTACGAGATTGGACTGACCTGGATCGGATTACAAATTTTACAGATTCCTTGCTCAACCCTAAAAAAAAAGGGATCCGGATCATTTTTGTACAGGGATATGAATAAAGATTAGGACCCCTTTCCCTAACCCCTTTGACCCCTTTCTTTGTTGATTGATCACTTTTTCTTTTTCTTTTCTTCTACTCCAATCACCACTCACCATGTGTGTATGTGATGGTGGGGTTGAAGTTTGAAGGATCTAGATCACTGCTGATAGGATATACCTAAAAGAGATGTGATTGGAACCCCTCAATCACCAACCCCACCACCACCCACGGGGGGTTGGTGCCTCACTACTAATCCCCTCACTATCAATCCCCTCACTAACAATCCCCTCATTATTAATCCCCTCACTATCAATCCCCTCCCTTCTATCTCTGAAAACAAACGACCCTCACTAACAATCCCCTCACTATTAATCCCCTCCATTCCATCTCTGGAAACAAACGGGGCCTATATATATTATCAAAAATGCTTTAGACCTCTAATATAAGAGCTCTAATAGCTGTAAGGGGAAGGTGGGACCCACCCTGATGCGATGTTTGATGTTTGTGCCTTGCTTTGTTTGTTTGTTTGTTTTTTTTTTCTTTGACACATCACTAGAGCTCTAGATTTAGAGCTCTCTAGCATTTCCCATATATTATATACGTAATAGATTTGAATTGCAGAACAAATCTTACCAGTGGATGCACCACTTGGAACAGCAGCTCTAGCTTTCACACCATTTGATAGACAAATATCCACCTACATGCAACACAATCCACATCCAATCAATAACTCAAAACACACTTTTTCAGGTAAATCGATCACTGTCTCTCAAGATCGCCTAACAAAGAGTAAACTCTGAAAATCACTGTAACGATGAGAAACCATAGATTTGATCATGCGAACTCAAAACAATCAAAAAAATACACTGCACGATTCATTTTTATGATCATCTAATCACCGATTCCTCTCGGTGAGCTCAAACTGTAGGAAGATCTGTATCAGAGATCGAGTTCAGACAAAGAAGAAGAAGAAGAAGAAGAGTTCGAAATCAAACCTCGACCGTAGGATTGCCGCGGCTGTCGAAGATCTGTCGTGCATGGACGGACTGGATCGTCGCCATGGATCGTAGTTTAGATCTGCTGAGAGAGAGAGAGAGAGACAGAGAGAGACAGATATTAACAGAGAGAGAGAGAGCTGCGATTACTAGCACTCCAGCAGAGTAGTTAGAGAGCAGGGATGTATACCACGCATTTATAATGGGGTTTGAAGAACATTAGGTCTTAAGCGATAATGAATTATTTTATATAAATTAATTAACAAATATTTCTGAGAGTGGGATTTGTACTCAACAATGGACCGAGTTACACCGATACGGAATATGGTGTTGGGCCGTTAAAGGAGAATTCGGTGCGCGTTATGCGGCTGAATTGGATCCACACTAAATATGGTGCAACGCCGAATTAGGATCGTCCGAGATGTATTGGGCCAAGCTATGGTGTTGGGCCAGGCCCAACTGAACAAGCCTACAGCGGGGCTGAGCTGTCAGCGATTTGGATTGTAGTTGTGAAGACAGACGGTTCGTGAGACTGCAGTGAATAGCAAAAATGCCGAACAGCGTGCCTGACTTCGGTTGGCGCTGATAGGTCGGTTTGGTTCGACCATACATTAAGCAGTCTAACGTGGTGTTATGTTTTACCAAGTAATAGCTCGGTTCAATATTCCACGTGGGCCAATGACGAGAAGAGGGAAATCCACTCTTGGTATGAGTCAATACTATTTGGCGGTGCGACAAACACTGTTTGGCGGTTTTGGTCTCTACACATGTAAGAAAGGTAGAAGGGAGTACAATCGTCTGTCCAAAAAGGACAACAAAGGTAGTGCGCCCACAATCTCCGAGGCTACATGGCCAGCCTTGAAAAGGAGAAAGAGGCACACATTAGAGGTATGCAACCTGAAGCTATTTTTGAGATACTCTCTTTTTAGAAAGTGTTCTGCCTCCTCTCTTCTTCTCCAAGTGTGCTGACTTGATCGTCAGAAGGTTTATCCGGCAGCACATCGCCGAACAGCTCACCGTCTTTCTGTTCTCAGGTTAAGCGACGCTGCGTGAGGCTTGGACTTAAGAAGTACGGAGAACGACGAATATTTCCTTTTTGTACAATTGGCGCTGTTTGTGGAATCATTGACAGACAAACCTTGCTCTCCAAGCTTTTCAACCTTTTTCCGTGGCTAACAATGACGAAACATCGCTGTCCGTCATCGACAGCATGACACCAGAGTCGGTCTGAAGGAGAGATGGCCCTTCTACCATTTCACCCATGGCTGCCCTATAGACCTCCTCTACGCCCAAAGACGCGCGAGATAAACGCGTGAGGAGCACTGGCCATTCAAGAGTCCTGAGGGTCGCCGATGGCGAGGAGAATCGCATGCTCAGCTCCTGAAGCACAAACTCAAAGACCAAGACGCCCTCATTCGAAAGATGATGGTTGAAATGGAAACGTTTAAGCAACAAATCAAAGGGAAGGGTGTTGTTAGAGTGGGCGACCACAGTGAGCGCACCCAACCTCGTCGTTCTGACAGTTATCACCAACGAGGGACACCTTCGCTCTCCATCACCAAAAGCTGTGGAGTTGGCGATTCTGACCCACCGGTGGAGAGGTCCTATACGTGCGACAGCAACTAGCATCCCTATTGTTCGTCGACGAAGTCGAGATACTCTTACTCTGCCCGTTCGCAGGATCTGAGGGATGTACTAGAGGAGCGAGCACTCCGTAGAGAGGCCCAAAGAGTGCCGACGCTGCAAAGGCTGAACCCCCAAATCCATTGCAGTGAGAAGATGACCATACTGGCGCCAAGAGTGGTAGCTCCAGCACCGATGGACAAAAAGTTGGCAAGACTTACTGCTACTCTACTGTCTCCAGAGATCGAGAGCACACCACTCCCTGCCGAATTCCACATACCGAAGTTCACGCTGTACGACGACAAGACGGATTTGTACATGCATGTTAGTCATTACCAGCAAGTGATGGCAGGTTATTGGCGTAACGATGCCTTGATATGTCTCATATTCCCAGCAAGTTTAGGAGAACTAGGGCTGAAATGGTTTGAAAGGCTCCTGGAGGGGAGTATCGAGGGATGACAATAGCTAACGGAAACCTTTATCACCAGATTCAAAACCAATACTCGAACACCGAAAGAGGTCGACCACCTCCTGAGTATCAAGATGGAATCGAGTGGTTCTTTGAAGGCATACAATACCAAGTATTAAGAGACCTATAATGAGATCCTTGATTGCCCCACCAATTTGGTGATTGCCCAATACAAGCGAGGTCTACCAGTCGAACATAGGCTGCGAGACTCGCTCATGATGCATCAACCCACAACCATGGAATCCTTAATGCAGCGGATCAATGAGCACATCTGAGTTGAGGAGGATGCCGCCACAGTCACCACAACCGAGAAGGAAAATTTGGTTACAGCGGACAGACGCGTAGCTGAGAAGGTTCACTCAGTGTGGCAGAAGGATAACCGCCTTAATAACTGAGCTAGAGAGCAACATCGCGGTGCTAACCGTAACGACAGAAACAAAGGCCGTGGGAATGACCGAGCTAACGTTTCTCGCAACGAAGAGGAAGATGCCAGGGAAAGTTGAAGGCACAAACCGGAATCACCATAGTCTTTAAGATCCCAATTTATTGCATCCTCAGTGAAATCTGAGGTAAGCTATATGTCTGTTGGCCGACAAAATTGGAAGATACACAGAGGGGCTTCAACTCAAGGTACTGCTGCACCTTCCATGAAGAAAAGGGGCACCGAACGGAGGACTGAATACTGCTGAAACAACACTTGAAAGAGCTGGTTACGGTTGGGCACTTAGACCAATACATAGACGGGGGCATGACGGCCGCTCCACAAGGGCAAGCCGAGCCAAATAGCCTTGTCATCCTAGATACAGCACCCTAAGGAGTAATCAATGTTATTCACGGCATCATCGAGCCAATGCGAGTTTGCGAGTTGAGGGGAATGATCAAGAAGGCCGAGCATATAAGGGAAGTGCTCTCTGTTCATCCCGCCGTAAAGAAGGAAAAAACTGAGATAAAAGACATCTTGACCTTTTCGAGCAAGGACATGGAAAGAATTCAAACACCTCACAATGACGCCTTAGTTGTGACTCTTCGCGTTAAGGACTTCGACATCAAAAGAATATTGATCAACCAGGGGAGTTCGGTCGAGATCATGTACTACGATGCATTCAAGCAAATGAAGTCGAAAGACAAAGACTTGGCTCCAGCGACGTCTCCTCTGGTCGGCTTCAACTCTCAACCAGAATGGCTGATCGAGAAGATCATATTGCCGGTTAAGGCTAGGTCAGTCACAAAGCAAGTGGAGTTTTGGGTGCTGAAGGTCCCATCGATCTACAACCTGATCTCAGGGAGCTATACAAGCAGTAGCGTCGACTTATCACCAGGTCATGCGCTTTCCTACTTCAGCTGGGCAAATCGAAGAGGTTTGGGGGGACCAAGTGATGGCAAAGTAATGCTTCATCGTTGTAAATGGTAATCGGGTTGCCAAAGGCTTTGTCCAAATGATAGAAGGGCCAGAAGGAAAGAAAGTCCTAGAAGATATAGGAAGAAAAGCCGAAAAAAAATCAGTTGAGGACTTGGTGGAGGTTCGGATTGATGAGAACAATTCGAGCAAATTCTTTTTCTTGGGCTCATCATTGTCCAGTACCGAGCAGATGGACCATGTCAACTTCTTGGTCTCTAACATTAAGTCTTTGCGTGGACACCTTACGATATGCCTGGCGTCAACCCTAGCTTCATCTGCAACCAGTTGAATGTCTTTCTCAACGCAAGGCCAGTCATACAGAAAACATGACGCTCAGCCCTGCACCATGCCGAGATAGTGGCCGTAGAGGTCAAAAACTTACTAGAAGCTAGGGTAATAGAAGAAGTGTAATACCCTAGATGGATCTCCAATACAGTGGTAGTGCTGAAGAAAAATGGGAAGTGGCGGGTATGCGTTGATTACAAGACGATCAACCGTGCATGCCCGAAGGATAGCTTTCCACTCCCAAGGATCGACCAGTTGGTGGACCTTAT